AATTCTACTCCCAATTGTAACAAATTATATCCCTTTAATTGACAATTTCATAAAAACAAAGTCAAGCGAATGGTATTTGGCTTTGTAATTTTTATTATTATTATTATTATTTTTTGGCAATAAGAACAAATTTTAGACCTAATGGTAAAAAAAATTATTACTTTAATGAATAATTTCCATAAAAAACGAAATCAAACGAACACCGAATTTTCAACATTTTCCAAGTGAAAAATTATACTGATCAAACACAATTAATTACAATTCCCAGTAAAACAAATTCTAGGTAATTCAATTCCCTGTAATTGATTTTCTTTCCACCCAAATTCTACTTTTACAATCAAACGAAAAGGAGGTTTCTGGAAGGTAAGTTACTCTTAATTTATTTATATAACAATTTTATTGTAATAAAATAGTGGAAGAGGCAGGCACATAGATAATGATTATGCCTTTCTTCTTTTCCCTCTTTATAAATGCGGGTAGGAAGTTGTAATAACAACTCGAAAAGCTGGAAACTACGATTCAAGACATTAAACAATCATTAATGCTCAAGCATTTAGAATAACAAAACATAAACAAACTATTTTTTTGTTAAATAAAGCTATGACAGACTCAATTCAAAGCTAAGAACATAAAACTGATGATGAGTTGGTAAAGAATTCTTACAAATACAAATAGAGTATTAATAATGTACTAATTTCATTTATGCGAGCTTGGAGAAAGAATCGTGAGGCAGAGGTTAAAGGGTTTAATCTGAAGCGTCCATTGCTACAACCGAGCTCCTGCCAAAGGGAAGCTCGTTCGTGTCCACTATCATTAGAAAAAGAGACTTTGCTTAACAGAAAATTTGCTTTGGTAAATATAAATTATTCGCTTGACGATGACGTAATGGAAGTTTTCCCAATTGGTTGCTCCATGCAGGACTTCCAACTAAATCTCATAATATACCGTAAATTTAGGATTTATACAAAGGCGAGGAAGCGTCCTCACTTCTATAATTTATGACTACCAGCTTCAGCAGGCTTGACTACTTCAGCTTCAATGGTTTCTGGGACATGCAAAGGGGAGTTTACTTGCTGTGCAGATATTCCCCATCTGCCTGAAAGAGCCATGCCCATCATTTCATAGATCTTCCCTCCAAGCTGAGCCGGACTCTCAGGCTGCAGCCAAATAAAGGCCATTAAATATACAACATAATAATTATTTGATCACTCAAGGAAAGTAAAACAATCTAATCTAATTATAAAATGCATCTCCTGCCCAGAACTCATGATAGTGCAAATTAAATTTGAGTGTCAGTAATTAAGGAGCCAAAACACAATTCGCCTCAACTCACGTCTTGCAGCCAGTGTTTTTGTCCTAGAATTTTAAAATAGAGTACAAACTATAAGCACAGGATATAGACAAGGGTGTGATTGACACTCACAGTGAAACCACTTGAAACTAATGCTGCATCATACAAAAGATCAATAGCCCTCAAGGCTTCCTCATCATTAGGACTACTCTTGCATGCAGCCTGCAAGATACATAAAAAGGAAAATTGGGTTAAGAAAAATATTATAAAGAGGGTATTATAGCTATTCATTAAGAGACAGTACATTTAAGGTTTGGATGATTGGATGATCCGGATTGATCTCAAACACTCTCCTGCTTTTCATAAATTCGAGGCTTGATGTATCACCAACTGTTTGTGCCTTCATCAGCCTACAAGAAGTTCAGATAATATTGAGATTCAATCGCAAAAAAATCAATCTTTGGAATCTGAAAGAATTAAAAGCTTCACCTCTCCATGTTAGCAGACCAACCGAACTTCCCAGAAGCAAGCACACACGGTGATGTGCTCAAACGATTTGAGATTTGAACACTGGCAACTTTGTCGCCAAGGTGTTTCTTTATCCACTCACAGGTTTGACCAAACTCCTGCTTTATCTCCTTTTCCTTCTCTTCATTTTTATCGCCTACAAAATTTATAAAATAGGGTGCAAGAACACTAGAGATCAATGTCCTGAAACAGCACATATTGAAGAAAGAGAACTCAACTCCAACAACCCATCTGGGCACAGCCCCAATCACAAACTAGAACATTGGCTTCAACCAATTTTCAAAGAACATATCATGGCTGTCACCACAATTGTACAGTTGTCTATTCATTTTCTAAAGACCATAAAATCAATCTTACATTATTTCATGTGCGTCGATATCTTATTGAATCTCGTAAAAGACTCGTTCTCCATTGAATTTTTGACAGTGGATTATAGTAACATCTCAGGCTGTGAAGACACATCTAATGGTTCACACTAGATGATCTTTGCCATAATAGCACTTTGCCTAGAAATGAATATTCTTGTATAGACTATTTTTCAGTGTCTGTCGAAACTTGTCACCATATTTTGATATACAATTCATTTCAAGATTCGGAATGCTTTAGTCGCATTCTATCACGATTAGAATGCTGAATTGACAGCCACCATTTACAATACCAGACTTTTGAACCAAATAAACACGCCACCAAACTGAATCATTAGATCTATGATCATAAAGCAGGCATTCTTACGCGAAGTGACGAGAACGGTTCACTATCATGCTATTTCCAAACAATTTGTACACATATAAGGTTCCAATTCCCACGAAGGTAATCATTAGTTGCTGTAGCATTACTTAGAACCACTACTAGGTAGGAGCTAAAGACATGATGTGAATTCTGTATATTTTTCAAATCTTTTCCCTCGTTATATGATAGGTGACAAAGCCATGTGTTTCCAAAAACTTTGACTGTTAATAGCAGCAACAGTAATATGGGAAAGAATTGAGCAGCAGTTTAAATTGGGAAGTTAATATTAACATGGGGCCAAAAGTGAAAAGGTAATAAAATGTCCAATTGAGACCACAGGAAGTAATTAACAAATAAAATGACAAAGTTCCAATAAACTAACCCAGATCTAGATCTTCTTTGCTAATGTCAACAAAGTTTTTCTCCTTGTACGATTTAAGGTTTTGGATGGCAACCTCGTCAATAGGATCCACTAGAAATAGTACCTGCATGAAGAAAAATACATAAGTTATGAATCAGGAAAAAAATACAGTCCATGAGGAATTGATTGTAGTCAGCAAAGAATGCATACTTCAATATCCTTTTCAAAAAGTTTCTCCAGAAATGGTGCGTTCTTTGCACTTGTTACACTCTCAGCAGCAATGTAATAAATATCTTTCTGATCAGGTTTCATGTTCTCAACATACTCATCAAAGCTGATCATATCTTCCTCGCTTTGAGAAGAAAAAAATCGTAGCAGTGGAGCAATGCGCTTGTGATTCTCACGATCTTCAATGCATCCCAACTTTAGGTGTTTGCCAAAATTCTCCCAGAACCTTGCATAATCCTGTACAGAAAGCACCATGAAGACGACTAGAAAAGAAGAAACTGCCCCATCGAAAAGGACAGGTGAAATCTTCTAGACTTTGAAAAATGATAAGAGAAACAACATAATAAAGTAGAAACATACGTCTCTGTTCTCACTCATAGTTATGCCCAGGATCATGTCGAATGCCTTACGAACCAAACGCTTCCTCATAATTCGCACCTTAATCGAGCAAAAAAAGAATAGTCAGAACAATGACTAGAATAGGAAAGCAGTGCAGTACCTAAAAACAAACAACCATTTAGCTTGTAGTCTTACAATGCGACTTTCTTGAAGAATTTCTCGTGAGACGTTCAATGGAAGATCATTCGAGTCGACAACACCTTTGATAAAGCTTAAATATCGAGGGAACTATTCCATACACAAAAGAAAATGGCAAACAGTTATCAATAGTTTGAGGATTAATGTCATAATGGGGGAACACTTAGATTTGTCTCACCAATTCGCCATCGAAATCATCTGAAATGAAAACCCGTTTGACATACAGCCGTATGTTCTTCGTCTTAGGATTGACGATGTCATCCTTCCCAGTGGGTGCAATGGATGGTACGTAAACGACAGATCTAAACTCTACTTCACCCTGCCAGAGTAAATGACACCAGATATGTAGATACTCGTGAACCAACCAAAAAGCAGGCATATATTTTTTAAGAGCTTAATCCTTCTTGAGCTTGTTTCCATTGCCGGAAAGATTATTTATTATCAGGCCTTTGGGTTATGTTACAAACTCTACACAACTAACTACTTGAAAATATGCTGTCAACTGGAAAAATAGATAACTATCAAACTGAAGCACATCAAGATACAGAGTAGTCTCTATGCAAATTTTCAGGTAAGTATGGTAATCATAAATACCTCAGTTGTAAAATGTGAAGATGCAAGAGGTTCCAAGTATTCGTTAAAGGTTTTCTTGTAAAACTCATTATACTCCTCCGTGGTGACTTCCTTGGGGTTACGAAGCTGGCATGAAGCAGAAAGATTACGATTTAGTTACACTTAAAAATAGCTCTTAATGGGTAAAGTAGAAATAGATTTTTCAATGGCTCACCCATATTGGCTGGGTCTCATTCGTAAGCTCCCAATCCCAATATTTCTCAACTACGGTTTTAGTCTTCTTCTTCTTCTGTTATAAGCATCATAAAATAGTCAACACGTGCCTTTGATCTGAAGTGTGATTACATACATTCTTCCAGATTATAAGAAATCAGTAGAATTGCAGTAGACTACCTCAGTTTTCTCATCTTGGTCATCTTTCTTAGCTTCAGCTGGATCCTCATCAACCTCGACCTGGAGTGGAGTGGAGCAAAAACAAGAATATAAGAGTACATAACAGAATTGTCGATACTTGGGAGGTAAATTGAAGGATATTTTGTGGCACAGTCTTCTGTACATGCCTTATAAGTATTGGCATTCTTTTATATAACGTAACCCCAATGTGCACACTTGTTTTGCTTTGGGGCAAGTGAAAAGCAGTAGATGGTACATAGGAACACAGAGAGAGACAGATTCATGGATACATCAGAAAACTAGAGCCAAATGAAACTGAAATGGCATTAAATATTCCCATACCTCTTTAGTGTATCCCTTCTCTTGCCAAGTGTAAATTGGGAAGGAAACAAATTGAGAATAGTTTTGCACAAGTCTCTGGATTCTTTCTGGGTGTGCAAACCCTTTGTCATCTCGCTGTAAAATACAAAGAAAACATTAGAAAGGTTCCAAAAACTCAGCAATGTAGAAGCAAAAGCAACACTTGGCAACGCATCTGCGCACCAACCTTAAGATACAAAGTGAGACGGGTCCCTCTAGGAATGTGTTTTGATGGATCAGTCTCTTCTCGAATGGTATAGGAGCTAGAGTTGACCTCTCCTTCCCATACATATTGCCTGTCAGATTTAGGGCTCTTTGTCGAGACTTCAACCTTGAAATGAGAAACAACATTAGGCTAAAGTGAACAACCGAAAAATGAAAATACAAATTCAATTGATGTAGAAGAAAACTTATTTAGTTTGTGAATACGACATACCCGCTCGGAAACCAGGAAGGCTGAATAGAAGCCCACACCAAACTGGCCAATTAAATTGCTGTCAGCACCAGCATCCTTACTCTCCTGTCAAACAATATACTTTTCTTTAGGCAAAGAAAAATGATAGTTCACATTTGCCAAAGCATCAGATCGTAAAACACAAGAATTGTCAAAATAGTCACACCTTCAATGCTTTCAGGAACTTCGCAGTTCCACTTTGTGCAATAGTACCAAGGCAATCAACAAGTTCCTGGCGTGTCATGCCAATCCCAGTATCCCTGGATGGAACATTAAATGTCATACTCGCAATAAATTAAATCAAGCCAAGATATGGCCAAAACTGCATAATGCTTACGTAATTGTAATTATCCCATTATCTTTGTCAGTCTGTATACGTATATCAAGATCAACCGAGTCCTTTAAAAGATCTGGTTCCGTAACACTAAGGAACCGCAGCTTGTCCAAGGCATCGCTTGCATTGCTGTGGGGCAAAACAAATATTTTCTTAGAAGCAGTTTGTAGGCAGAATAAGAAACCATATTAAGGGTTTCCAACTAGAGTTACCTAAAAAGTGAATACTATAAGCTGACATAAACAAACAGTACAAAACACGCATAATGTAATAGCAAGCGCAAGAACACCTAACGTTTTGATTCACAAACTTAATGACAAGGTCGTGATTAGCATTTGCCCCAGAGCCACTTGCCAAATGTCAAATTGAAATAAATATTTCACTTAATCATTGTTAGTAAGTAGTTTCGAAACAGTGATGATCATGAATGCCAAAATCATGAGTTAAAATCCAAAAAATAGTTACTATCCCCACTACCCAAGCACCGGCTAAAAATCAGCAGAACAGTAAAATCACTTAAAATTAGTTTCAGCACATACTCACCCCAACCAAAAATTCATTTAATTTCCAGAATCAAAATCCAAATTTTAGGTGCATGCTGAAGAATGAACAGAAGACACTCCAAGGAAATATGAATAATCAAAAAATTAATGTGAAAATGTGGACTAGTAAACAAATACGTGCCTAACAAGTTCCCGAAGAAAAACTTCCTTGTTGCTGTATAAACTGTTGACAATAAGGTCCATAAGACGGCTAACCTGTCAAAGAACAAAAAAAGAAATTACATTTCATCGCCTCGTTTGCCCAACTTCAATTGATACGTAGAGAAACTTCGAAATTAAGTTTAAAAAAAAAAACACTTATTGTTTACCTCGGCTTGGTACTCATATTTTTCAGCTGAATGGCCTGATGCATCATGTGCCGCAGAAGTCGACTCAGGGCGGCAACCCACGACAGGCAGCAAGGAACTCAATTTGCCGAATTAAGTAGCATTACAGCTGCCAGTCGCTAACACCGAGTACCATTTCTTTTCTGTCTTTCCATCATCAGCCTGGTCAATATCGAAGCATTGGAACAGATTATAAATATAGAAACAGAAATGCAAACAGAGTTACAGCTCGTTAATATAAAGCCCGTATCATATACCGATTGTTCCAAGGGATTGGAAGAAGAAAGTGGGACGGCAGAATTGCGTTGGCGTACGCCACCGGCGCGCAAGATGGCGGAGACTGAACGCCTTGAGAAGACCCTGTGCATTTTGCAAAAGTTTTATTGATGAATTGTTTATTGAGAGAGGCTGATTAGAGACTCGGGGTTTTAGAGTTTCAGTAGGGTTTCAGAAGAAAGGATTCAAGGGCATGCTTAGGAGTGTGGGCTACCGGTTACGAGCGTATTTTAAGGGCAACTTTTAGAAAAAAAAAATCGTAAAATTAAGGATTTTTGAAAAATTGAAAAGTATTTTGAAAGTAAAAATTAATGTGTAAAATTAATTGTCATTTTTTTTAATATAAAAAGTGACATTTTTTCATAAAAAAGTAACAAAATATCATGTGTGACTGTTTAATATAAAAAGTGACATTTTTAAAGTAATACGCTGGGTGACTGTTTAATGTAAACCGGTAACAATGTGTCACTTTATTAAAACAAGTGATATTGTGTCGGTTTTCATTAGAAAAGTAGCATTATGTCATATTTTAAAAAATCATATGAAAAGTATTTTAGAAATAAAAAATATTTTGTAAAATTAAATTAAAAAAAGTGACACGGTGCCATTTTTTAAAGTTGAATATCACTTTTATTAAAAAATGATATTTGTTACTCAAAAAAATGACAGAAGTTTCAAAAAAAAGTAATAGAAAATAATAAAAATTAGTGTGTAAAATTAAGTGTCACTTTTTTATTATATTTTTATTAAAAAGTGATATTTGTCACTCAAAAAGCATAATTGTTAGACTCGACCCGGACATAGACCCGAACAATACAGCTGGTCAATGGATTAATTGTTCAACCAGTGATCCGGTGGTTCAATCGGTGGGTCATTGTATAAAAATCTACAAAAAAAGATTAAGTATAAAAAAATTGGGAAAAATTAAAATTTTTAATTTATTTTTCACTAATTATTTAGGTCTATAAAATAATGTAAAATGTTGGACCAAAGTTTTTTTAAATAATATTTTTATAAAAGTTATAAATGATTCATTAGATAAATATAAGTTATTGCACGCAAATATTACTAAAGCGTTTTAGTTCAAGTGGTGAAGAATTCATTATTTTTTCTTAAAGGTCCAAGATTCAATTCCATTGTTCCCAAAAATTTCGTAAGAGAATTTTAAAACTCGATCAAACTAGTCAACCGAGCCGGGTGAATTACCGGTTAACTCGGTCAAAACGCGATTTTGACCGAGTGAAGTACATTTCTACAAAATTACTCTGTCGATCAAGGATTCAGGCTGCCGGTTTCCGGTCCGACCAGTCGGGCCGGGTCGGTTTTTATAACTATGCAAAAAAGTGATAAAAAAAGTGACAAACTGTAAGAAAGTTACATAAATTCAAAAAAATGTCAAACACTAAAAAAAGTGACAAAAATTCAAAAATTAACATGACACCAATCAAAACCTTAGAAATATCCAATAATGATTAATTTTCTTCTACATATTATCTCTTTGTAATTATGGCCCTGTTTGGGAAGGATTAAATTTTTCTACAGTAAATCAATTCTCATTTTCAACCACACATTTTTCAATAAAATAATATTTTCCATCACATCAATAATTTTTTCTTCTTTTTCAACCGCACATTTCCCATCATATCACTATTTAAAATCAATT